TCCCAGACCTCCCAGAGAAGACAGGCACCAGCCTGTCCCTGGTGTACCTCTGCATTGCACTGTGTGAATTACGTGGGGACCACGACCTCAGGGCAGAGGCAGGCCACTTCACTGTGGTATCCCCAGGCCCAGCCCAGGGCTTGGCTTACGGCTCTGGGTACAACACCGGATGTGAAAGTCAGTGTGTGTTTCTCTGTCCAGACTTGCATTTCTAAGAGGGTAGGGGTGGATTTTATTTTTCTTTATGTCCCCACTGCCCAGCACAGGGCTGAGAGTCTTTCATTCATTGGCCCATTGCACACTTATTGAGCTCCTGCTACCCACAAATCTCTGTGCCAGGCACTAGGGGGAAACACTTAGTCCCTGACACCAAGAAACTCCAGGCTAGAGTGATTCTTGGGAAACGGGACTGATGTCAGCATCACCTGGGCAGTACCCTGCCCTCTCCCCCCAGGGTGAAAGCAGGGGGTTCTGGTGTCCAGGTGAATGCTAGGAGGCTGGATACAGGATAGAAAGATCCTATTTGATGCTTAAATGAATAGGCGGATAGATACCTGGACAGTGGATGAATGGAAGAATGGAGATATACTCTATGAATGAATAGATGGAAAGGATAGATGCTTGAAGAGATGCATAGACTGAAGAACCATTGGATAACTGAATGGACAGTGGATGGGTAGGTAGAGGAATTAGTGGATATTGAATGGATGGATGGATGGGTGGATGGACTGACAGATGGGCATTGTGTAATGGATGGATACTATATGGATAGATGGTTGAATGGACACTGAATGGATAGATGGATGAGTGAATGCTCAGTGATTTGAGCAGCAGATGGGTAGTTAATGGGTGGTGGTTGAGTGCGGGGTGCTAGATGCTGGGTGAATGAATTTCCTGCTCATTGGTTTTGACTTCCCTGCAGCATCCAACTCCAAACAGCCTATTCACATGGTTTATGTCCCCTCCCATCTCTACCACATGCTCTTTGAACTCTTCAAGGTGAGGAGCCTGCGGGATGGTACTTGGCGGGCTGGGAGGCAGCTAGGGCTTGGCTTCTCTCATCCTTACCTCTTTCTCGCCACAGAATGCCATGCGAGCGACTGTGGAAAGCCATGAATCCAGCCTCGTTCTCCCTCCTGTCAAGGTCATGGTGGCCTTGGGAGAGGAAGATCTGTCCATCAAAGTATGTAACCCTTGATTTTGGGGGGAAGTGGGGAGACTGCCAGGAGGTGGGCTTGGGAAGACCCTGAGGGTAAGGAAACCCAGGAGAAGATTGAGGGGATCAGGGGTGGGGATGTGTGAAAAACAGGCTGGAGAGCCCCCCAACATGTCTCATCTCCCCCAGATGAGTGACCGAGGTGGGGGTGTCCCCTTGAGGAAGATTGAACAACTCTTCAGCTACATGTACTCCACCGCACCCACCCCCCAGCCTGGCACGGGGGGCACCCCACTGGTGAGAAGGCTTCCTTCCGGTTCCCCTTCTGCCTCCTAAAGGATCCTGTCTGTCTCTTCATCTCTCTCAGATTGTCACCCTCCCTCTCTCTCGCTTCCTTATGTCACAGGGTCTCCCCATTCTCATACGGCTGTGTAATGTCAGTCACCTCTCCTGAGGCTGGGCCTCCCTGTCTCTGTCCAGCCTGCCCCTCCCTACCTATCTGTGGAGGTCTGCCTGTCACCTTATCTCCCCACAATGTTACTATTTGTTCAACTCAGCACCTTCCTGTCCCCTCCCAGGAGTGTAGGTAGAGCTGGGTTTGGGAAACTGAGACTCAGAGGAGTCAGATCCCCTGGCTGCCAGGACCTAGCTTCTCTCCTTGCCCTGCTAACACCCCACATGCCTCCTCAGCTTTCCTCCCTCCCCCAGATTGGCCTTGGTCACCCCGTAGCTCCTGTGTTGCCCCAGAACCTCCTATTTCTTGTGTCTCCTCCCATCTGAATTCTGGGGACCCCTTGCATGACCTCAGCTCAGCACCCCTCATTCTGTCTATTCTGCAGCACCAGCCTCCTCATCACACTCCCTTCCTGTCCCCTTGCAGGCTGGCTTCGGGTACGGGCTCCCCATTTCGCGCCTCTATGCCAAGTACTTCCAGGGGGACCTGCAGCTCTTCTCCATGGAGGGCTTTGGGACGGACGCTGTCATCTATCTGAAGGTGAGGGTCCCCCCCCTGCAGAGCCCTGCTGGTGGGCGGGTCTGGCAGGATCCGCCTGCTGTTAGACTCCTCCCATCCTTTCCCAATTCTGGACAGAACCAGAGCAAAGCTACAGGTCCCCCGGCCCCGGACGCTCCCAGCGTGGCAGGCAGTTTCAGGGAATCCATGGTCCGTGACAGAGAATGTGTCATTCAGCTCAGGGGGACATGGAGGCTCAGAGCTGCTGACCTCCTTTAAGAACACTCTGCCCAGCCTCCCTCCCAGGCCCTCTGAGCCCCCTCCTTGAATGGGCAGGAGCAAGACGCACAGAGGGACAGGCCCTGTGAGGGTCTCCCTGGGCCAGGCTCGGTTGTCTCAGCATGTCTGGAACTTGCGGAGCTGATATAAGGGCCCCAGTCAGTAGCCAGCACAGCCCACTCTGGGGCCAGGGTGTCTGCTGGGCAGCGGGAGAGGCTGAGCCCGATGCTCCCCAGGCCCTGTCCACGGACTCGGTGGAGCGCCTGCCCGTCTACAACAAGTCGGCCTGGCGCCACTACCAGACCATCCAGGAGGCCGGCGACTGGTGTGTCCCCAGCACGGAGCCCAAGAACACGTCCACGTACCGTGTCACTTAGGCCCAGGGCGCCTCTGCACCGGAGAGGATGGACTGCTTGCTGCCTCTGGGACCGGCCACCCCAGCTGCCCTCCCCGCCCCCTGCCCCCAGGTGGGGAGACTCCCAATGACCAGCTCCTGTCTCTATGGACGTCACCGTGGTGACCAGTCTGTGGTGACCTCTAAGTGCCAATCTGTCTGTCTGGAGATTCTCAGGTGGTCTCCCCCAGTGTCCAGTGGGAGATCCCTGAGGATTAGGGGTGTCTCCACCTGCTGGGGTGTCCCCATGGCAGTCCTGATACCAGAGCTGCCCTTTTCCTGCCAGGATCCCCCTCACCACCCTCCACAGCCTGGCCTTCCAAACAGATGCTCCTGCTTGCCTTTCCCCCTTAGTCTGCCAGGCACCCCGCCCTGGTCCGTGCCAGCAGTAGGAAAGGAGCCCCCAGATCTGGGTGGTGGGTGGGGGAAGGGGTTGCACCTTGGGCCCCTGGGTGGGGCCCTGGTCTGGCAGCCTCACCCTCCACTCTGAGCTTCGGGTCAATATTAGGAGGGAGGGAGTTCCTGCCAGGACCTCACCCCTAAAGTGGAACAGCCTGGGAGGACCCTGAGGCAGCTTAGCCGGCTGCCCGAAGCCCCCAGGGGCCCCAGCAGTGTTTCTGCTGCCTCCCAAGCCCTTCCCGCACGTCCTAACATGCACACCCCCCTGCCCACCTCACCCCCACACCCTCCCTGTGCTCCACCCCGGCTCCCACGGCGCCGACGTGCGTGCCCGGGTGGCTGTCCCCCGATGCTCCGTGTACATAGTTAGTTTATAGTCCTGCGTGTCCCCGCCCTTCCCCTCCGCACACGGGGGCTAAAGTGTGTGCGCTTCCCAGCAGCCGTGACGGTGCAGGGGCATCCGCAGTAAAGAGATGTGATGAGAACCTGGCCCGGCTGCGTTCCTGCGGGGAGGGCGGGCCACGGGACAAAAGACAAGGCGTGCAGGCGGCAGCCTCGTGACCGGCACATGACACGCTCGGGGGGGCCGGACAGCTGCGGGCGTGACTCGGTGTGTGCCACAGGACACAGCAGGCCGGCCCCCGGCCCGGAAGGCGGAGATCACTGGCACATCGTAAGTGTTTATTGAGATAAACTGAGTACTGCCTCCCCCTTCACATGCAGGCGGGCACCCACAGAGCTCCCACGGTTTCCAGGACCTGGGTGCCCTCCAACCTCCCCACCAGCCTCCACCGAGCCCAGGTGGTGCCAGTGCCCCCGTATCTGTTTCCCTCAGAAGCCTCTCCTCCAGCGCAGGCAGCAAAGGGCTGGGTCCCAGGGACCAGTGGCCCTCAAGCTGCAAGCCCTGGGCAGGAATGAGGGGAAAAGGCAGGCACTGGGTCCTGTCCCCCGCTCCAGGCAGATGGAGAGGGTCCCCCTAACCCCAATGGGAACTGGCCAGTGCTCCGGAAGCTGGGCCAGTTTGCTAGCCCCGAATGCTCTCCTACAAGGACAGGTGCCACCCCTGGGCTGCTGGGGTGCACTCCATCCCCACGGGGTGGGCCCCCGTCCTGTAGGCAGAGCTCAGATGAGGGGGAGCTGACAAACCCTGCCAGTCGAGCAGTTTCCGGGGAACCTAGAGTTCTCTCTGCCCGGCCTGGGTGAGGACTCGCCCGTCCAGTCCCTCACGGGCATTGGCAGGGGCGCCCTGTGTCTCCACCAGCTCTGAGTCTGTTCTGTGGGCAGGGAGGGCTCAGGTGCTTGTGAGGGCAGCCGGGGGAGGAGGGGCCTGCCTTGGAGAGCAGGACAGACACAGGCCTGGCCGGCCCCCGGGGAGGGGCAGGCCTGTGAGGTGTCATCTCATGGGGATTGCAGGGGAGGGGAGGGGAGGGGAAGAGGGAGGGTTCGCCCTCCCTTTGCCTGAGGATGGCCGTGCTGCTGCCTCTGCGCTCCTGTGGAGGAGGAGACTGGGAGTCTACCTGAGTGCAGCCTGCTGCAGTGCCGCCGGCCTCCCTGGGAACAGAGTTCCCCCCACTCCACCGCCCCGGAGAGCCTGAGAGGAACGACTCCACCCGCCCGCTCCTCCCAGCAGCTCAGCCGCCTGTCCGAGCCCGGGACCCTGGCCCCAGGGCCGCCCCAGCACCACGGCGGCCTGAGGACAGAGGGTCAGACTGACCCAGGCGCCGCTGGGCTCCAGGCTGCCTTCAGCTCTGGCCTCTCTGCCCTCTCTCCCCCCACAATCTGCAGCCTCCCCCAGGAACTCCGTGCCAGGCCAGTTCTGGAAGTCGGTTTAGCGCCCGGCCCTCTCCCTGGGCCTCCCTTTCTGGGGGATCTCGGTCCAGAGTGACAGATGAGAGAGGGCATGTACTCCTGAGACCGTGGGGCCAGGCCAGCCCAAGCTCCAGTTCGCTGGGAGCCCGCGCCCGCCAGGCGGCGGCTGCCGTGCCGGGTGCCATGCCGGGTGCCGCGCCTGCTCGCTCTCCTCTAGCTCTTCTTGGCCTCCTGCTCCCGGCGCCGGAGCTTCTCGCGCTGCCGGGCGGCCTTCTCCTGGGCCTTGCGCTCCTTCTCCGCAGCCGCCGCCAGCTCCTTCACCTTCCGCTTCACCAGCGCCCGGTCATGCGAGCTGCTGAGCCCCAGGCTCTGCGGGAGGAGCCGAGAGTGAGGGAAGGCGCCAGACCCACCCCCAGGCTCTTTGTGTTGGGCTGTGCCCTCTCCGGAGCTCCACCTGTCCCCTCTGAAGTGTCACCCCCACCTCCCAGACTTGCCAGTGGATCAGAACACCCTCAGGGCACGGATTTGGAATGGGAGTGGTTGGGAGAGAAGGTGAGAGCACCAGGCCCTTTACCGACACCCCAGCCCCCACCATCCTCCACTTCCCATAATCCCTGGCTCCCACTCCTCCACTCAGCATTGCAGCCTGGCCATGACCCTGATGTCCAGAGATGGGGTGCAGCTTGCCCAAGGTCACAGAGCTGGTCAGTTGGTGAGGCCCCTTCCCACTCCAGAGACTGCCCGGGGGACTCTCCTCCCCACTCCTTCCCCAAGCAACTTGGCAGAGGGTGGAAACAGGCCCAAACTCAGCACAGACATCAGGCCCCTCCTGCTCACCCTCCATCACCACCCGCCTCCACCACTGAGAACCAGACAAGGTGATCGGGGAGAGGCCTGCTTCCCACGATACCAGGAGACCCGTCAAGAGTTAGATGAGATGAAGCCCTCAAGGTCAAGGGCTGGAACTTGAAGGTCAAACAAGAATTGGGTTTGAGTTTCAAGTCAGACTTGAGGACCCAGGCTAGAGCACAAAGACCAGGCCAAGGACCTTGCCTGGACGGCAGGGGTTAGGGCAGCGGGAGGGACAAGGCCGGGGTAGGGGAACCCAGTCCTTGAAGGCGGCCTCAGGCTCTGACCCACCTTCAGTTTGCTTCCATCCAGCTGCAGCAGCTGCGGCCCATCCACCTGCCGTGCGGCAAACTCGGCGGCGTACTGCTCCAGGTTGAGGCTGTGCAGCCACTGGCCCACCTGCTGACTGGTCCAGTGGTGGATAGTGGGAAGAGGCTCGTCCAGGAACTGGGGCGGAGACCAAGGAGAGTGAGGGGGGAAGATCTGGCCTGTGGCCTGCACACGGGGCGGAGCCCGAGGCCGGGGCCTGCTCACCTCATCCGAAGACTGGGACAGCGTGTGGTAGGGGTAGGAGCACTTAGCCTCCTGCCGGGGACCGCTCGGGATCTTGGGGCTGCTGCTGGGGGGTGTGGAGTCATCGCTCAGGGTGGATTCCTAGACAGGAGGGAGTGCATGGTGCTGATCAGAAAGCTCGCCCCAGCTCAAAGGACTCCCCCCAACCCACCCACCCCCACCGGACAGAGACATCCTAGACGAGGCACCAGGCACCCTATGCCTGAGCCAGGAGCTGGGCAGGCACCCTATGACTGGGTGACTTGTGAGAGGCACCAGGACCTGAGGCCTGTGGGGGCATGTGGGGCTAGAATGAGCCAGGCAGAAAGTTAGCAGGAGCAGAGACGACCTCAGGCTGGGTGCAAGCTATGTCCGTGGTCGGCAAACTGCGGCTCGAGAGCCACATGCGGCTCTTTGGCCCTTGACTGTGGCTCTTCCACTTAATACCACCACCTGGGGGAGTCTATGTTGAAGAAGTGGCATTAGAAGAAGTTTAAGTTTAAAAAATTTGGCTCTCCAAAGAAATTTCAGTCGTCGTGCTGTTGATACTTGGCTCTGTTGACTAATGCGTTTGCCAGCCACTGAGCTAGGGGAATCACAATATTTAGTGATGTGCTGAAACAATGAAGCAATGAACGAATCAACAACTGAATCAGAATACGAATAAGTGAACAAGTGAATGCACAGACTGAGATGGTTGAATGAATGAATCACCGAATGGCTTTGTGGAGGACAAGTGGACTCTAGGAATGCCTGGGTCCCAGCCTGAGCCAGAGTGGAGCATGCACACATGTCTCTGAGCCCTGGGGCCAGTGTGGGGGCAAGAAGGCCACGGACTTACCTGAGAAGCTGACTTCTTAGGGCTGAAGCTCTCATGTTTAGGGGAGCAGGCAGGGGAGGTGGTGCTGCCGGAGGACGCTGAGCCCTTGCCGCTGTCTGTGAACCAGGAAAAGGGCAGGAACGGGGAGCCCCCTGACCTGCTGGACCCCTCCACCGACTCCCTGTGGAGAGAGCGTCCCGCATGGGTGTGGGCACCGAGGAGAGGGCCGGGGCCACAGGGAATGATGGGTAGAAGCTCAGGCTGAGATGCGGTGAGTACCACTGACCTGCTGCCCATGGACAGGCGGTTGCTGCCCTTATCCTTCCGGCTCTTGCTCGTAGATGCTCGGCGTAAGGTGACCCTACGGGGAGGGGAGAGGGGAGTGGGCCAGTGCTGCCCACTGTGCCATCCTGCGCCCCAACAGCTCCGCGCCTTTGGCTCTGGTCCCTCCTCCACTCACCCCAGGTCCAGGAACTTCCGGCGAGTCTTCTTATCCAGGCCGATGGTGGGACTGGCAGGCTCCGGTGGGCTGGCATCCCGACTATCATCTTTCAGGGAAGAGGGAAGGAAGCAGCCTGTGTGGTTGCCCACCTGCCTCCTCCAGCTGCCAGTGTGAGGCGGTGGAAATTCTCCCGACTTAGAATCATGCAATCTGGCTCTGGTGCCCTTCACTGGCTGTGTGGCCTGGGACAGTCACTTTAATCCTCTGAGCTCCCTTCATCTCAAATACAGGGATATTTCATGGGACCTAATGGGATGTTTATGAAAACCTTATGCAAACCATAAACCACCCTGAAAAGGTAGGGAGCACTACTATTTCGTGTTCATTTTACCTTGGCCAACTTCTGACCACCTTCCAATCTTGCACCACATGTCACCTCCTCAGAGAAGCCTTCCAGGACGCTCCCAACTAGGTCCTCTTACCTTTTATATGTTTTCTTGTGGAGCGCGGCTACAGCGTTTGGACAGGGTCAAGCCTGGGACCAATGAGAGGGCACCATCCTCTGGTGGCAAAGCCACGTGCAAGTCCCAGCACAATTATAGCCAAAGGCTGTGGCTGTAAGCTTGACCTTAGGATCCGAACCTGTAGCCCCACGTGGTTAAATGGTATCACATGGTTTAGTGATAGGGGCTATGGGAGGTGCAGCAAGTAAACAAAGCTTGATCAGGTGCATGTAACTGAGTAGATTCGAAACCCAGGACAACATTGCAAACATCTTGACCACCTCCTTACTTTGCCTTGTGGAATCTGGGCTTGCAGGCGCTGGCACTGTCTCTCCATCAAAGACACAGCATCCCACCTAGACCCAGCTTTATTCTCTTGTCTGTCTTTTCTAAATCCTTCACCGCCCCCTCTCAGGTTCACCCATGGCTGTGCCGCCTCACCACACTCTCTCACCTCCGCGTACATTTCTCACATAGCACTTATTACAGCTTTAACTAGACATTTAATTCGATTACTCATACATTTAAGCCCTAACCGTTTTTTGGCTCAGTGAATAGAGCATCGGCCTGCGGACTGAAAAGTCCCAGCTTCGATTCCAGTCAAGTGCATGTACCTTAGTTGAGGGCACATCCCCAGTAGGGGGTGTGCAGGAGGCAGCTGATCGATGTTTCTCTCTCATTGATGTTTCTAACTCTCAATCCCTCTCCTTCTCCCTTCCTCTCTGTAAAAAAATCAATAAAATATATATGAAAAAATAAAATAATTATACATTTAACTGTACATTCAACTCAATTAACTATACAATTAATCATTAAAGGATGATTGGATTGTTTGCCCCCTATCAGCGGACCACTGGAGGTCCCTGAGGTCCTGATTTAAGGAAACCTTTGGGGCAGTGGCCGCCAATCGGTAGGCTGTAAGGAACTGTTTCATTGTTCCTCCTGGAAACTACAAGCCGCCGGAGGATGAGAAACTGCATCTGTTTGCTCGCTTGTGGCTTGTGTGCCCAGCGTCCAGTCGTAGGCGCTCAGATTAGTGACACCAAGTGCTAACACCACCATCACCAGCCCCACTCTGCCTGCACTTGATCCTTCCCGGCGCTTGGGTGCCGCTGCGGTCCCCGCGCGCACCAGCAGGGGGAGCTGCGCGGGCCCGCTCACCTTCGCTGTGCGGCTCGGCGCGCAGGTGGCGGCGCACGAAGCTGGGCGAGCTGTCCGAGGAGGGCGCGGAGCGCGGCGGCGAGCAGGAGGCGGCGGCCAGGCCCTCGTGCGAAGCGGCGTTGTGCAGGGGTCGGTAGCGGGTGCGCGGCGAGGGTGGCGGCTCATCCTCATCCAGGCTGCGCCGCAACCCCGGAGGCTCCAGGCAGAAGGAGCCCACGGCCGGAGAGCCTGGGCCCGAGTGCAGAGGCGAGCGCAGCCGGTGCAGGGGGCTCCCGCAGCCGTCCGTCACCTGCGGGAGGGGCAGCCGCTCACCGCCATCCCTCCTCCCCGCTTCCCAGACTCGCCCCATAAACTGCACGGAAGCCCCTGGGGCGTGGAGCCCGGACTCCTGGGTCTATGGGGGACTTAGAGGGGTTTTCCCCATGCGGGCAGAGGGATGGCTGGGCAGTGGGAGGTGGGAAACGGGGGCATTCAGTCACATAGGCGGGGGTTGAAGCCCACCTCCTTCCATTACTGTGTGACTTTGTTACGGAACCTCTGAGCCCCAGTTCTCTCATCAGTAAGATGAGGATGATAGTCTCTTCCTTAAGGATGAAATGAGCCAAGTGGGAAGCTTGTGAGCATTGTTAAATCAGAAGCCTGGGTGTGTGGTTTCCCCGGAGGGTTTGGAGGGGCTCTCCGGGGGCAGGAAGAGTGGGTGGGGTCCGTGTGATCAGGTGGGCGGCCCCAACCTTGCCTCCGGGCCCATCGGAGCCTTCACCGTCCTCGGCAGAGCTGGCACTGTCCCGGAGCCTCGAGCGGGAAGGCCGGTGCCTGCGGCCTTTGGCCAGCAGTTGGGCCCGGGCTTTGTGTAAACTGCTGTCCAGTCTGACGGTCTCTGGCACAGCCAAGTCTAGGTCTGCAAACCGGGCGAAGGGGGCAGAGACCAGATGCATGAGGACATCATGCCCAGAGGCCCCCCTCAAGCAGCCGCCTGCACTCACATCCCAGACAGTCAATGCATGTTTCTGAGTGCCGCGCACTGGGAGTGCAGATGAGATGGGACACAGCCAGGGAAGCGGACACGCCAGCACATGGATACGGCAGCGTGACGGAACCCCTCACAGGCAGAGGGGGACAGGGCCGCCCTGGCTGGCAGGGTCGGAGGAGGACAGGCCAGGGCTTGGTCTTAAGTTCTGCATATACCAACCAAGTCGGCGAGACCGGTATATGCAATGCTGGGAGGTAGGGCAGTGGGCCAAGGGGGCACCTCCCGGGCAATTGGAGGGTATAGGTTTGTGGAGGGAAGGGCTGGGGGAGGAAAATGGAGAGATCATGGCATCAACGGCTATCACTGAAGAAGTGCCTACTGCGCACCGGGCGAGGGACAGTTATGATGCACATTTTAGAGCTGAGCAAACTGAGGCTCAGGCAGGGAGAGCCTCCTGGCGAAGCCACCAGCCCCCAGTGGTCTGGGGTTGGAGCCTGGCTAGTCGGGCTCCGGAGGCTGGCCCCGCTAGGGACACTGGCTTGCGATGCCATGCTCAGAGTCACACTCAGGGACAGCACCATTGGCTCTCGGTTGAGCTGGAGCAGAGGGACCCCTGCTCCCCACCCCCACTCCCTACACACACACAGACCAGTGACAGCTGCGGGAGGAAAACTCAGTCCCCGGAAGCCAGGTCCTGTGCTGGGGTCTGAGGCCCAGGGCCAGGTCCCGGCTGGGGAAGTAGAGGGAGAGCTGGCAGACCTAGTGAGTGAGCCATGCATAAACCCTACTGCTCCTCGCTCCATCTGTTCCACCTGAGCACGAGGCCCGCCCTCCACAGTGTGTCTCTCAACCCCCGACCTTGGCACAGGAGTCTCCGGGCAGAAAAGGTTCCTCGGAGACGTTGGGATGGGTTAGGACGGTTCCTCCCCACTCTACCTGCAGTGAGCTCAGGGACCCCAACCCATCCCCCATGCCTGTTCTGTGCCGTCTGCCGACATCCCAGTGGCTCTCCTGGCTTAACCACCACCCATGTCTAGTTCCGCCCTGACCCCTCCCCTGATCCCAAACCTGAGCACCTCGGCACCTGCCAGGGAACCGGTCAGGTCCAGGCACCTCAAACTCAACCCATCGAAACAAACCACCACTTGGCCTCCAACTGGCACCTCCTCTGTCCCCTGGCTCAGGGAAAGGCCTCGTCCTTCACCCAGCTGCTGCCCTGCCCCTCAGCCCCAGACCCGGTGGCCATTCATGTCTCCACGTGCATGTCCAATGGGCATCTTCAACGCGCATGTCCAAGCTGCTCCTCCCCGTCTGCCCAGCTCAGCAAGCGGCAGCTTGATCCTTCCGGCTTCTCAGCGCAAACCCCTGGAGCCATCCCTGGGCCCTCTCTCTCCCTCCACCCCACACCCCCATCCATCCACAGTTCCTCTCAGCTCTGCTTCTGGCACGCATCTAGACGTACTGAAATATTCATGGTGACATGGCAAGATGTTTTGGACCGGGTTCAAAATAATCCAGGGGAAGAGGGGCGGGGCACGCAAAGGGATAGGGATGGAGCAAGGCTGATCCACAAGCCGGCGATGGCTGGGGTTGAGTGACAAGTGCGGGCACATGATGGAGAGCACAGTGCTAGTCTCTCCGCTCTTCATTTCCCACAAGAAAAGTGTTCGTATGTGTCTGTGTCATGCACACACACGTGCACGTATGCATATGGGGAGAAAGAGGAGAGAGAGTTCACAGAGAGTGGGGAGAAAGAGAGGGCAGGAGAAGGAGAGGAAGGGAGGGGAGGGGAGACAAAAGAGAACTCCTCACAGCCTGTCTAGGTCATCATCTCCTCTCGCCTCCCAGCTGGTATTCCCTCCTCCTCTTCCCATTTACAGTCTATTTTCAACGCCGCCGCTGGAGTGATCCTGATAAAACGTGTCAGCCCGTGTCACTCCTCTGACTTCCATCTCACCCCGAGGAAGAGCCTGCGTCTCCCAGGAGCCTTCCACCTCGAGTCTGCCCTCTGAGAGGCAGCCTGTGCCACCTCTCCGAGCCTCTGCTTCCCTCCCTCTCTCCGCTCCAGCCATCCTGGCTGCCTGGCTCTTCATGCCTCACCCGCACCTCGGGGCCTCGGCACTTCCTCTTCCTGTCCCGCAGGCTCTAGCCACCACGTCTGCATGGTTCTCACCTTCCGTTCTTGGCTTAAATACTCTCATGGAGGACTTCCCTGACCACAGAGTCCCTAAGACGCCCAGAACCTATGTTTTCACACACCCATTTTCTCCTGTACCGTGTATCCCCGCCCTTTAGAAGGGCAGCTCCACAAGCAGAGATGCTTTTGTTTGTCCATTGCTCTCACACAGGCACAGAGTGCTGCCTGGTATGTAGTGGTCAGAGAATACTATTTTAATGAACGGACAGATGGGCCTCCTCACACCCCTGGAACCTGGCAGGGACTGGGGCCGCTGTTATGGATGAGGCAGCCAGGCTGAGGTGTGGGTGGCAATTCAGAGCCAAGGCTGCAGAAGGAACAAGAGCGGACAGCGTGGTCTTGGGCATGGAGTGCCCGGCGATCAGCAGGCGCCAGTGCAGCCTGCAAGGAGAGGCGCTGGCCTGGCCTGGGGGAGGAGGGGGGACCAGAGAGGCACCCGTCTGGGGCGGCTGATGGACGGACAGGGGAGAGGTCTGCCAGAGGATTGCTACCTTGGACTTCAGGTCTGACCTCACTGCTCTGGTCCCCGAGCCAGCCCTGCTTCCCTTCCGGTGTGTACAGGCCCGGGGCCGAGCTGGGGGAGAAAGCCCTCCGTTCCCTGCCCCCTGCCCCCTGCGGAACCTCCAGGCCCTGCCTGAAGCAGTGAGCACTGCGGACTGAAGACAGAGCAGTAACAGCTGAGACTGACTGAGCTCTCACCGGCTGGGGCTGTGCTTCACAATGACTAGCTGGTTGAAGCCTCCCCCAGCCCTGCGAGAAGAGCCTCGGGAGTCGCCAGGCAGCCTTCACAGGGCTGGGGAAGAGCCGGCGGGGCTAAGGCAGCCTGGCTCCCCAGGCTCGGCTTGCAACTAACAAGCTGGATGGGAGCGACTTCGGAGTCCAAACCCTCCTTTTACAGGCGGGGAAGGTGAGGCTGGGAGAGGAGAGGTTTAACCCAGGTCAGAGGTCATAGCATCCAGGTCTCCTGGTCTTGCCACTGGAAAAGGGGGTTGGGGGGAGAGGTGCTAGGGCCCAGCCCCCCTGAATTACATGATGGAGAGAGTGCTATTCTTTCTATTTTGGTTTCCCACAACAAAATATTGTGGGCATGTGTCTGCATTACACACACTAACATACATGCATAGGTATGAGGAGGAAGAGGGGGGCCCGGGAAAGGGCCCTGACCCTGAGCCATGACCCCAGGACCACGGTCCTCTTACCTTGGAGGGTCCAGGCAGCAAGGGGGGGGGTGTCCCTCCTCCAGCCCCTCGCTCTCCCGGCCCCTCCCTTTCTCCCATCCTTTCCTCCAAAGCTTCCCTCCCCACTCCCCCCTGGGAGCTACTCAGGCCCAGGGCAGTGGGAAGTCTTGAATATTTAATTGCCTTTCACTGGGGAAGCAGGAGGGCTGTCACGGAGAAGGAAAACAGGAAGGGTTGGGGTGGGAGAGGGAGTGGAGAAGAAAAGCTGTCAGGCCAGGCCTGGGTGGCGGTGGGGCATTCCCCAGGAGCAGGGAGGCCGAAGTTCCTGGCATTGCCGGGGCATGTGGCAGTGGCAGTGGCAGGGGGGAAGGAGGTGAGCAGGGGAGGGGGAGGAGGGAAGGGAGGGGAAGGCAGAGATGAGGAGAAGCAGGGGAGGAGAAGATGGAAGGCCCTGTGGCCTTCTACACCCAGGAGCCCCCAAGGTCATGCACACCAACGTGAGTTCTGAAAGCTGCGCACGTGACAGGCTTCAGGCGCCTCTGTCTGTCTCCACCGCTCCTCCATCTTCCTTTGCTCACTGACTCCCGCACCACATCCAGCTGGGAGACAGCCTTCCCACCCCACTGGATGCTGGGAGTTCTGCCCTGCTGGCTGTCTGTCTCCAATTCAGACAATAGAAAGGTCGCAGGGGATCAAGGATGGCACAGGCAGGTGTGTGCATGCACCGGTGTGTACTGAGACTGCGTGCTATGCGTTTGAGTTCTGGGTACATCCACGCAGAGCAAGGTCCCTTATTTATGCAAATTAGGAGTGATGTGCGTCACCTGTCCTGGGGGGTACAGGTGCATCTATGGCACCGTGACTGAGAGCAGGGAGTCAGGCAGCCTGGAGACCCAGCTCTGCCACGAACCCACCATGTGATCTTTAAGGCAAGTCACTCCAGCACTGCGCCCTCGATCCTGAAAAATGGATTCACTCCTTCGCAGTAGGGTGAGGCCTCAAGGAGACAGTGCAAGGGAGATGGGGGTGAGGCAGCACTTAATAAAAGAGGATCCTTGTTAACACGGCTGCTGTGGTAACTGTCATGTCCAGGTATGTGACAAAGAATCAGGCTGTTCGACCACAACATACACACTCACACACACACTAACGCCCCCACGGGACTCCTCCCGGCCGCCCCACACCAAGGGCCAGGCGGCCTTGGCTAGAGAGAGCGCCAAGCAGAACTTACCAAAAACCTCATCAGTGGGCTCTCGGAGCTTTGAAGAAGCCATGGCTCAAGGGAGCTGGGGAGAACAAAGGGCAGAGAGAGAAGGACTGTGGGTAAGAGGTCCAGGTGGGTGGAAGCTAGGGAGCCACCAATGGCTGCCTGCTCCTGGCCATGGCCCCTCACCTTCCCTCGGAGCTCTCCCTCCAGCCCCGGGAAGAGAAGTTAGCGGAAGGATAGGTATGGGGAGAAAGTTGTGGGTGGGGCAGGAGGCAGGGGCAGAAGGCTGGGGCAGAAGCAGGTCCATGGTGCAGACACAGGCAGTGTCCTTGGTCCTGATCCCAGCTGATCTGCCGTGTGCCTCCACCAGGGTCACAGGACTTTCCCCCTTCGCTCTCTTGGGCCTTTCCTTCCTTAGCTTTCCCGAAAAACGTTAATCATCATACATTGGCCAACAGAAAATCTAGGAGAAATCTTGGAGATTCTTAAATCTAATCCACTCGTTTTACAAATAAAGCAACAGAGAGACTGGCCTAAGATCACGTAATAAGTTAACGGCAATATCAGGACCAGAACTCAGGTTCTTCCACCCATCCATCTACCTACCTCGCTTCTTACACATTCATCCACCCATCATCCATCCAAACATCCGTCCATCCATCCGTCAGTTCATACTATCCACCCACCCATCTTCCAACCCTTCACCCAGTCCTACCTCCCTACCCCCATCACTGGTGCACTCACCACCTGCCTTCCTGAGCATGAGCTATTCAGGAAGCTGGCACCAGAGCCCCTGTTCTTGACAACTCAGTTCTAGACAGACTCACAGATGCCAGGGGGTACGAGGAGTGCTCACAGCACAACGGTGGACAGCCAGATCTCTGTGATGCATCGAGCGTGTTCCGGGAGGAAGTGCAGATGGGTGGGGGGTTGACTTGGTGTTTCTGGTGGGAAGCAAGGATGTGTGGGGCTTCCTAGCAGACGTAGGACTGCAGCGGCCGACACCAAGGCCTGGGTGTCCGAGGGGCAGGGGAACACTGGCTGAAGGGAGAGCGAGGAAGCTCAGGGGCAGGGGAACACTGCATGCTGGGGCCATGATCTCCAGCTCTTTTTTGTTTGGTTGCTTTTTTTAAATCTTCACCCCAGGATATTTTTCCATTGATTTTTAGGGAGAGTGAGAGAGAGGGGGGATACAGAAACATTGATGTGAGAGAAACACATCCATTGATTGCCTCCTTCAAGAGCCCCAACCAGGGTCTGGGCTGGGGAGGAGCCTACAACCAAGTACATGCCCTTGACAGAATCAAACCCAGGACCCTTTGGTCCACAAGCCGACGCACTATCCACTGAGCCAAACTGGCTAGGGCTCCAATTACTCCTAACACTCAGGTCTGCATGAGAAGGGCTGGGCACTGGGTTCGACCAGACATGCGCTAGGTGTAAGAAAGCTAAGTCACGTGCCTGGGGCCTTTTCCCGCTGCCCTGTTATTACAGAGACATCCTCTCACGGAGAGCTAGCCAGGCTTGGGATTCTTAATATCCCCACCTTACAGGTGTGAAAACCAAGATGCAGGAGATAACTGGCAGAACTCAACCCTGGCCTGGGTCTCCCCCACCTCGGCCCTATTCTGGGTGATGATCTGCAGTTTTGGAAGGCGCTCATAAGGAAAGGACACTGCGGGGAGAAAAGTAGGGGAAAGGGAGCTGGTCTATGCTGGCTAGAACTGGGAGAAGCAGGCTCTAGGGGTGCTTGAGGCTGAAAACAGGAAATGAGGTATCAGAAGGGGCCAGGTTTACGGGTCCTCCAAGAACTCTGGGTGCAAGCAGCAGAGAGAAGTTAGCTGACCTCTCTCTCTTCCTGTCCTGAAGGGCCAGATGGGCAGGGAGGCTGCCCCTAAGAATAAACCAAATTTCCTCACTCCATCACAAAGCTTCCTCTGACCAGCACACAGCTGCCACCTCCTCCAGGAAGTCGTCCTAGACAGCCCTCCCTCCTCGCATTTGTCTGCGTAATTTCTAAATCCACTCTTACCCAAGCACTGGGAAATGAGGAATTTTCCATATTTCACTGATTCTCTAAGTGGGTCCTATCTCTCCCACATCGGAATGGGAGCTCCCGAGGAGCGGAGCAGCATTCCCCACCAGACTAAGGATGCTTTGAAGCTAAGAATGGAGCCCTGGCCTTCTGACTTCATTGGCTGGAGCACTGTCCCATACAGGAAAGGTCATGGGTTGGATTCCACATCAGGATACATACTCAGGTGGAGGGTTCGATCCCCGGTCAGGTATATACGGGAGAGAACTGAATGATGTTTCTCTCTCACACTGGTGTTTCTCTTTCTTTCTCGCTCTCTGAAATTGATAGCAAACAAACAAGCATATCCTTGGGTGAGGATTTAAAAAGAAAAAGAAAGAGCCCAGCTGGCTGTAGCTCAATGGCTGAATGTCGACCCGGGAACCAAGAGGTCACCGGTTCGATTCCCAGTCAGGGCACATGCCCAGGTTGTGGGCTCAATTCCCAGTGAGGGTTGTGCAGGAGGCAGCGGATTAATGATTCCCTCTCATCTTTGATGTTTCTATCTCTCTCTCCCTCTCCCTTCCTCTCTGAAATCAATAAAAATATATTTAAAAAGAAAATAAAGGAAGAAAAATTAAATAAAAATAAAAACTGCTAAGAATGGCCAAAACCGGTTTGGCTCAGTGGATAGAGTGTCAGCCTGCGGACTGAAAGGTCCCAGGTTCGGTTCCGGTCGGGGGCATGTACCTTGGTTGCGGGCACATCCCCGGTGGGGGGCGTGCAGAAGGCAGCTGATTGATGATTCTCTCATCGATGTTTCTAGCTCTCTATCCCTCACTCTTCCTCTCTGTAAAAAAATCAATAATATATATATATATATTAAAAAAAAAAACCACCCTGCTGAGAATGGAGGCTCCCTATGGTGACTCCTCTCTTAGACTACCTGACACGGAGATCCCATGTGTTCTTTTCTTAAATTTTTTAAATTGATTTTAATTTTTAAAATCCTCACCCAAGTAATGAGGAAATTTTTTTCCCATTGATTTTTAGAGAGAATGAAAGCGGGGGGGGGGGGGGGGAGGGGAGAAGAGAGAGAGAGAAATATCGATGTGAGAGGGATACATCAATTGGTTGCTTCTCCCTCGAGCACCCCTACCAACCCAGCCAGGGACTGAACCTGCAACCAGGTACATGCAATCGAACCCCCAACTCACCGCTCTAACCACTGAGTAAAGCAAGGGCCCCAGATGTGCTTCATTCCAGGGCCCAGTGGGGAGCAGAGACCCTCCTGTGGAAGGAGTCCCACCAGGTGCCCTCAGGGGAGGGCTGGGCCCCCGGCTCACACCAGCGCCCAGTTCATCCTGATTCAGCACAAACTGCTTTCCTGCCCTCCCTTCACCAACAACTCCCTGCCTTACTCTGGAAGCAGGACATCCAGGGGGTCACCAGGCCCCTCTCCCCTCAATCCTCTCATTCCACAGCTCAGCCATCACACTCCTGCGCACACACACACACACACACACACACACACACAGCCCGGTCACTGCCACAGGAAGAAAATGAACCTGTCCCTCCGCTCGCAGTCTGAGCTCTGACTCTGCTGGGCGCGCCTTCCAATTCTCGGAAGAGGAGCTCCAATGACCTTTGACCCTTTTCTGGGAGACAGGTGAGCTCCAAGCTTCTTGGGACTCGGGGGAAGGGGAAAGAGGAAGGAAGGGGCACAGCCCTGGAGAGAGAAGGGGTAGTAGTAACAGGCCGGTTGGGGGTGCGGGGTGAACCCACAGAGCCCCAGAGAGAAGGAAGGAAGAGATGAGATGGACAGAGTGGGGCTGGGGACAGCGGCAGGGAGAGGGCCCCAGCAGCCCTGTTTGGAGGTCCAAGGAGGGCTGAGAGGAGGAGAATCTGCTGCCGGGAGAGGGGTGGCCCCAGGGAGAGGGGTGGCCCCAGCAGAGCACCTGGAGGAACGGTGCCCTGGAGGAGCAGAGAGGGACCGAGAGAGAAGTGCAAGTGGGACCGGCTGGAAGGAAGGAATGGCCGGCAGAGGAGCTGGGGTAGGAGGAGGCAGCTGTGCGGCTAGAGAAAGCCAAGCCCCTCTCCCATAGGCCCAGGCTTGGGGCATCCGGCAAGCGTGCCCCCCACCTCCACCCCACCCCACCCCCTGGCGCCACCGGAGCCGGGGTAGAGGTGGAGGGCAGGGCACCCACCGCACTCTTAGGACCCCATTCCCCCATCGGGGCCTCCCGGATAGTTTCCTTCCAACCAACCCATCAGCCTCCCGGCGGGCGGCGTCGGACAAGAAAGAGTTAAGCCCTCTCCCCCTCCTCCCACACCAGTTTTTTAAATTAATTTATCCCGGCAGCGGCTGGAGGGAGAGGATTAGGGACACAAATCCTCTCCCCGTGTCCCCTCCCCTGACAGCTCAGCCCCCCCAGCCCCCCAGCCCCCTTAGGGACAGGGGGAGAAAGGCCCCGGTCGTTTCACTCCATCCAGCCCCACTCGGGGTCCCACCGCAAACCCGAGGGGCCGCCCGGCCCGGCTCCCCCGTCCGCCCCGGGCCCCGGCCCCTCACCTCCAGCATCCGTCATCTTCAGCGTCCGGCGCCTAGGGAGCCCCTGGGGCCCATGGTGCTCCGGCGGGCGGGGGCCGGCGGGCGGGGGCCGGCGGGAGGGGCGGGGGCCGTCACCCCGGCCGCGGGGGGCTCCGGGCGGGCTCGGTCCGCTCCATCCCGGGAGCGGGGTGCGGGTCGGCGAGGAGGGTCCCGGAGCCGGAGGGAGGGAGGGGGGCGGGAGCGCGTGGGGAGCTGGGGCGGGTTTGCAGCAAGAGGAGGCGCCGGCGGGGCTGGACCGGGAGACCTAATGGGAGGATGCTCCGTGCGTGTGCGTGAGTGTGTGTGCGTGAGTGTGTGCGCGCGTGTGTGTCAGTGTGTGCAGTGTGTGTGAGGGAGGGAGGGGGGAGGAGGGATGGAGAGAAAGAGAGAAAGAGAGCGAGCGCTCCAGAGAGCCACCTCCCGCCCGCCAGGCCCCCGGACGCGGCCCCTCCCCCGCCGGGCGGGCCGTTACGCGGCGCGGCGCGGCGGCGGGGGGCTCGGGGTCCCCCGGAAGGGCGATGCGGGGCGCGCGGCGGGGAGGGGGCGCCGGAGACAAAGAGCGGCGGGCGGAGGGGGAGGGGCGGCGGCCGCGCGGAGGGGCGGAGGCGGCCGGCGGCGCGGCCCGGCGGCGCGGGGTTCGGAGTTGCGGCTACTTCGCAGCCCGCGGGAGCCGGCCCCGGGGGAGTCGGCCCTGGGGAAGCGGCCCCACCTCGGCCCCCCGAGGCCTGCGCCTCCTCCGCCAGCTCCGCGAAGGCTCCCGATTCGTCCGCCTAACGGACCTCCGCCGCGTGGTCCTCTGCGCGGAGGCCCCGGGGGACCGCGGGGAACCGGACCGACCCGGTCCCGGCCGTGGGGCTCGAGGCGCAGTCCGGTGGGGGTAGAGGGTAGATGGGGGTTAGGGGGAGACGAGTGAGTTGGCCCGGTGCTAGGAGGCCTGGTTCCACGCTGGGAGAGCACACTGGGTGGGGGCGCTGGGCCCCGCCAGGAGGCGGGGTGAGGAAAGGGGTGGGGGTGGTTCGGAAGGATTCCCAGGAGGAGGGGGTGTGGTGGCTGCTCCCGCGGGCCAGGCCGGGGTGGAAGAGCTGACGGGGCTGGGGTGAGAGGCGGGTGGGCGATGGAGAGAAGGTGATGAGGCTGCAGAGGTGGAGGGGACCGGTGGCCAGAGGGCTTGCATTTATCCTCAGCCGCAGGGGAAAGTAACGGGGGAGGGGGGGGCTCGAAATTGCATTTTAGGAAAACCCCCTGGCTCCTCCGTGGCGGCTGGTCAGGAGAGGGCAGCCTGATGGCAGGCTCATGAGACTGTGGAGAGATGATGGCAGTGGGCATGAAGATCAAAGACCAAGTTGACAATTACTCAGGATGTGGAAGTGAAGAGACTGACAGCCTTTGGGGCCTGGCTGGCCACGGAGGGAGGAGGGGTCCAGGAGGACTGCAGGCTTGGCCCTGGAGGTGGAGCTGGCAGGGCTGAGGGGATGGGAGGGATGAGATCAGACTTGGACCTGGCGAGCTGGAGGTGGAGGCGGGCCAGGGGGAGATAATGTAAAAGTCAACAGAGAGCTACCACACTGTGATGGCCTGGGAGGTGCCAGGACTGTGCTAAGCACTTTTCTCAGATTAAAAATGAGGCAGGTGTTCCTATTACTCCCCCTTTAAAGAGGAGGAAACAGAGACTCAGAAGAATGAAAGTGGCTGTTTAAGAGCAGGCGGTGGGGTCCAGAGCTCAGGGGAGAGGGGTGTGGTCTGCAGGAACAGGGTTTCCCACTGGCCAGTGCCTCTGCCATCTCAAGTCTCTGAGGGGCTGTGAGGGGTGGCATCCTGAGCCAGGTTGGTCTTGGTGAGGACAAAATGAATACGTTAGGGGCCAAAGGAGATCTGTAGGAGTTTGGGGAGTCTCTGGGTGTCTTTAGGATCTGCTGGCAGCCATGGGTGCTGGCTGGATTGTGAAGGGGAGGTGGCGACGTTGGTGACAGCCTGTTTGTTGTCCAGGGTCTTTATGGGCATGGCTTAGGGCATCTGGTGAGATCTTGGCGGGAGGCGGGAGTGGGGAGATTGGTTATATGGCCCCTGTAGGGGATGGGGATGTGATGTCAGTGCTGGGGGTGAGGAGCAGGCTCTGTGGGAGGGTGTCTGCCAGACCATGGGACCTGGGAGGGCCCCATATTCCTAGTGATGTAAAGTCTGGCAGTTTGGATCTGCAGACCTGGCGAGCTGGAGGTGGAGGCGGGCCAGGGGGAGATAATGTAAAAGTCAACAGAGAGCTACCACACTGCGATGTGGTAGCTCCATCCACCACCCAGGCCAGCCCTCAGCCTCCGCTTCTGGGAGTTAAGAAAACCTTTATCCAATTTCCCTCCCCCAATGGCAAGTGTCAGAGTTATCCCCCAACTACCCAACCTCCTAAGAACCGGGCAGGTGACAGGGCGGGCTGCCCATAGCCACTGGGCACACAGCCCAAACATGGACATGGCTCATGGGCAAGTCACATAAACTCTCGGCAAAGCCACACACACACCGCACCTCAGCCACACTCCCCTTAGGCTTAGACATGGCGGCGGGGGGGGGGGGGGGTACTTGGCCCACCTTTGGGTCATACCATGTGCAGGCCCCTCCCCTACGACCCAGGACAGGTGAGCAGCAGGATCCCTCAACCCCCATATCTCCCCTCGCAGGGAGGTCCAGCCATTTCACTTCTTGGCTGTCTCCAAAGCAGGGCCTCAGTGACCTCTAACTCTGGGGCCAGTGACCTTGTGGTTTGACCTGGGATTCAGCCACTCAGATATTGTGCCAGAGGTGTTCCAAGAACGATCCACTTGGAGCTGCCCTGAGAGGCATGGTCGTCACCCCCAGGTTTCCAGGCGACCTCAGGTGGGGGCGGGACTGGATGGGCCCTGCGTGGCCCTGAGGCGTAGAACCAGGGTGTTTGAGAAAGCAAGCTACGGGAAGCCAGAATTTGGCTTGACATGAGTGAGACTTGTGTGACAGCCATCCGCAAGGTGCTTCAGGAGTAGGCGTTGTTACAGGCCTACCAAGGTGACCTTGAAGGGCCTTGATGTTGGGACTTCCACTTCTTAGGGCAAAGGGAAATGAGAATCTCCTTGGGGGGTCAGGCTGCTGAACACAAGTGCCTTGTGCATTAGTTTTCACACACACACACACAAACACACACACTCACGCCCTGAGCAGGGAGGGGCTGCTCCTGGAAACGGCCACACGTCTTGGTCCTCTCCCCGCTGCCCCCACCGCTTTGGGACTTCACCAAGGTTGGCCCCTGGAACCCTGGCGCGTGGGCTCCCAGGCCCATCATGTTAGAGCTGGTGAGTTAGCCACCAGCCCCGCTGGCACAGAGCAGGGGGCTCCCAGAGGACCCTGGGGACAACACTGCTCTGACATGTCACAACCGCCCCCAGCTGCCATCTCCGGGAACCTCATCTTCTTCAGGGTGCCTGTGAGAGGAGGGGCTGGGTATCCCCATCAGGTTAGATTTCTCCAGGGAGGGACTTGGGGTTCATCTTACCAGATCTACCCCATCCTGGAATCCTATCAGCGGCCTTGTAAAAAGGAATAGGAAGCACCTAAGGAACTCTCTAGAAACCCCAGCGCTGCCCGCTTGGAATGGGTAAAAAAGCATGGGTACTGATGGGGGCAATGGTAGCAGAGAGGGGGTGTCTGACCCTGGGCTTTCCTCAGAAAGATACTCGGGGACAGAGGAGCACTGGTGGTGGGAGGAGACCGCTGGGCAGACTGGCATCCCTGTCCTCCCTCCAGCACCCTCCCATGAATCAAGAAACCAGGCAGCGAGGCTCTGGGGGCTGCATTTATGGGGACGACCTGACAGAGGGCATGGTCCGTACAAAACCGGAAACAATACATACATATATATATTATATACAGAGACGCAGTCCTGCAGAGGGCGGGATGGGGGCGCTGGCCAGAGAAACCGGAAGCGCCTTCGGCCCCACCTGCCTGGCCCCGCCCCCTCCATCTGCGAGGGCATAGGTGAAGTGCGTGGGCGGGGCACTGAGACAGCCAGCTCTTTCAGGGGTAGGAAAACGTCTGGAGACAGGAAGGGGAGGGGGAGGAAATACTGATAGATGGCATGGTCTATTTATATGGGACGAGGAGAAGCCAAAAACCCAGGCTGGGGCAGGGGCATGGGGGAGGGGCAGAATGAGAGATGGATTCTGAAAGGGGAGGGGGACCTGAGGTGGTCCTCACCTCCCTTGGTCCAAGCCCCAATTTGGGGTTAAAGTGAGGAAACGAGTCAGTTTCACTTAGAAAGCAGGCTGTCAGCAGGGCAGCCCTGGTCTCCAAAAAGGTTAGTAAAAGGTTGCCCTCCAGTCAAAACCTTGGAAGGGTGTGGGTGTGGGCGTGGGTGGGCGAGGCTGAATCTCTGGGGTTAGTACAAGGCTTCCATGTGTGGCCCTGGGCAGGGCAGGCCTGGCTCTCAAGTGAGAAAGCTTTCTCTTGCCTGAGACCAGGTCTCTGCAGCCGGCCCCTAAGCGGATTCCCTCTCTTCCCTAGAATTCCCAGCGCTGGACAGGAAACGACCCCAGTGAGGCCACAGAACAGTTCCAGGAGGAGGTTATGGCTATTTGGCACCAGGGAAGGGCAGGGGGGAGGCACACGGAGAAACTGAGGGCTTCTGCCCCCCTTTCCCTACTCCTACTCCCCTTTTCCTGAAGGGTACGTGAGAAATCAGTGCAGGGCCAGGCCCAGCCTCCGGGCGCTGGGGTGGACTCCATCCCTCCTGGGAGAGGAGACAGGGATGGGCGGAGGTGTGGAGGCAACCCCTTCCAGAAGGAGGATCAGAGTGAAACAGAGACAGCACAAAGATGGGGGCGGGGAAGAGCCAAGAAGGTAGAATCTCAAGTCAAGGAGCCGCGTGGGCAGGGAGCAGCCTCCAGGTGGTGAAATGCTGGGGGAGCCCCAGCCCCATTCCAGTCCAGAGACAAAGGCTGGAGGGTGTAAAGTCTGGCAGTTTGGTCTGCAGATCCTCGCGTCCATCCACCACCCAGGCCAGCCCTCAGCATCCCTCGGCCTCTGTCTCAGCCCCATCAAGTGCAGAGGAGGCCATCCTGCCAGCCACCCGTCTGCCCAGGGCCACCACAACGGGGCCTGTGATATGGGCCCTCCGGTCCCTGAAGCTGGGGGAGGTGGGGCAGAGGGGTGGGGGAGTCGGGGCACCTGTCCCCAGGCTGGTAGGGGGTGGGGTGAAATGGTGAGGACGGGAGGGAGGACAATGGGCGGGGTTAATTATTGTCTGGTCAAGGAAAGATTCCCGCTAAGTAGAATTGGAATTCCTCAGTGTTTGCAGGTTTCCTTCCAGTTCTGAGATCTGGAAAACAAAGGGGAGAGGGGGTCAGGCCTGGGCCCCACTCCCTGTGTCCACTGGTGGGGACCTGGCCCTGAGCTCTCAGCCAGCAGCACAACTGAGACCGAGAGTGGGCGCCAGATGGGGGCTTCCCTGCTGTCAGCTCCCCCAGGCCCTGCCCCCAGGGCACCCTGGGCCCACCTTGTCCAGGAGCTTGTCCATCTCCTCCTTCCTCGCCAGCTCCGACTCCTCCAGAACCCGGCGCTGTGCGGTCTCCTTCTTCAGGAACTCGATCTCCCTGGTGGTCAGCGGGGACAGATGGTGGGTGAGGGTGTGTGGCCCAGCTTTCTTCAGGAAGTGTCAGGACTCTCAATCCTGCCCTCAGCTCCGCCGGGCAGCTCTGCCCTCTCCTTGTCTCAGGTCGGGGAGGCCGAGGCCTTCCCAGCGCCTCTGGGGTCTGATCCTCGTTCCGGGCCCAGGTACCCCCACCACGGGCTCTCCAACTCCTAAGCTCCTCCCCTCCCTCCTCAGCTGGGGATGGGGAAGGACAGCGACCAAGGCCCCTCAGTGCCCCCCAAGCCCCGGGCACATACTTCTGCTGGTAGTCCTTGATGAGGCGCTTGGCCTTGCTGTACTTGCGCTCCAGGGCCTGGTACTGGGCCTGGGTCTCCCGCAGGTGCTCGTCCACAGCTTGGCACAGACTCTGGGCCTCGCCCCAGTAGCCCTCCAGCTTCTCCATGCGCTCCTTGTTCTCCTCCACACTCTGCTCCAGCTGGGCCTTCTCCACCCGCCACCGCCCCTTCTCCTGCTCCAGGCTCTGCAGCTGAGAGAGGGGTGGCCCTGGGTTGGTGGGGCCCAAGGGAGCCCAGGAGCACCCCTAACTTTCACCGGGCCAGAACCTCTGGATGATCTGCAGATATGGAGCCCACTGCCTCCTGACCAGTGACTCTTACTTGGCTGAACCTGAGACCGGAAACCGAAGAAGGAAGGAGGGACCTGGGTCTCAGCGCTCCCAGCTGGGGTCCCTGACAGTGCACCACACTCCTGCTCCCAGAACGCAGGAGGCCTGGGTGAGTCACTCATTAGCTGTGACTTGGAGCAAGGCAACTTCTGTCTTGAGTCTCAGTCTTCTGGTCTGTACAATGGGAGTGCCGCTGCCTTGCCACACTCACAAGGGCTACAGTGAAGTGGTAGAAGGAGAGCGGAGCAGGGGAAGGTCACCATGACCCTCTGTCCCCTCTGGCCTACTGACCAGTCCTGCTGCTGTGGCTACGTGGACAATCCTGGCCCCTCTCCCGGCTCGCAGGCTACCCCCGTGCAGACCTCCCGGCCCCAACGACTCAGGCTTGGGGCCCCCGTTCTCTCTCTCAACGCCCACACCCCATGTGTGCACTCAGAGCCCTTAGTCCTGAGCTCCAGCCCAGCATCACTTCCAACTCCTCACGGGCACCAGCCCCCCACTCCTCCTTCCTGTCCAGCCGCCTCTGTTCACAGATGCCATCCTCTCTACTGTCACCCAGTGCTCCGCCTCAAGCCCCTGCCGGCCCCTCCCGCCTTGTTGGCTGCAAATGCCACTTGCTCTCTCTGCCCCAGCCACACAGGCTTCCTGGAGGTCCGCAGGCTTGCCAGGCTCCCTCCTGGCACAGCGTTTGCCTGTGCTGTTACCTCTGCCTAGAGTGTTCCCATCTCCCCGCCCGCTTGCCTCATCATCTCCCTCTGGGATCACCCCTGGGTTCTCGGCTCAGTGTCACTTCCCCAGAGAGGTCTCCTGGAGCACCTCCACCAGCACCGCCCCCACCCCCACTCCCACAGGCCCTGCTGCTCTCGGAGCTCAGTAACCCGTCCTCTCCTACCAAGCCCATGGCGGTCTGTAACGATGCAGTCACTGGTGCGCAGACTCAGAGCTGCCCAAGGGCAAGGACCAAATCTGCTCCTGCCCGTCACAGGGACTGGAATAGTGCTGGTGAGGCAGCCAGCAGATGCTCATTGATTGAAAGCCTGAACAGACCTTTGACTTTCGCTGCCCCTTAATGCCCTGCACCCACCCAGGAACCTGGCCTGCCATCTCCCCTCTGAAGTGCAGCTCTATCACAGCCTTCCCTTCCGCACCCTCCGCCACACGCTGGGCAGCCCTGGCCTACACCTGCCTCCTAAGTTTACTGGCCTCCGAGTCCTGCCCACCTATCCTCGTGTCCTCCCACTTCACAGGCAGCGATCTTTCTCCTTAGGCCCCCATCTGGCCACAGGGCCAAGGCTGGAGTCCTTACGGGAAGCCAGGACACTGCTCCGCCCACCTGGCAGCCAGCTCCGCTCCTACGTCTCCCACAGGAACAGCTGCTCCGGCCCCCGGCCCCCTCCAAAGCCGGCCTCCGAGCTCAAGCTTGTCTCCTGCCGGCGAGCCTTCCCTCTGCCTCAGTCACCTCCCCCTCCCCCAGGCTCAGCTTCACACTCTCCTTTCTCCATGCACAGCGGGTGTAAACCCACACATGTACCTCGGTGTACCCTGTCCACATGGCTGTGTACCCCTCCTTCTCCCCACTACACTGAAAGCCCCACAGGAGTTAGAACTCCCGATGTCCTGGCCCAGCAGGGGCCCAGTACAAGTTTTTCATCTGAAGACTGTGCATCTCCGTGCCTGCGAGAGTTAGCACCCACCATGCTTGTGTGGATGGGTGTGTGCGGTGCATATGTGTGACTGTGTATGTCATGTGTGCGTCACCATCTGGGAGTGTTAGCATCAGCGCCTCATGAGAAGGCACGTGTCCTGTGACACTCCTCCTGGATCAGCGCAATGCAGAGGGAGTCTACGTATCCAGGGCGATGGACATGTGAAGCGTAAGCCCAGCATCTCCGTGTGCACAGAGCGAATGCTCTGGGTACTATGTGCCCGGGGTCCAGGCTGGCCTGTGCCTGTGAGTAGCTCTGGGCAGTAGCATCTGTCACTGGCCCTGGATGTAGAGGTCTCATGTGAGACAGTGTGGCCAGAAGACATGGATTGAGCACCTATGATGGATCAGACACTGTGTTAAGGACTTTCCATGGATTATCTCACTTCATCTCACAAGGATCCTACGGTGTTGGCACTATTATTACCCCATTTTATAGATGAGAAGACTGAGGCACTGAGCAGCAAGTGAATGGTGGGCAGATGGGTCCAGAGCTCAAGTTCTTTACACTGCCCTCTCTTGCCTAAGGACAGCTTTCCCTATTCGTGTTGTGGGTAGAGGATGGTAAGCACGTGTAAGTGTGCAGGTGTGAGAGCACCCCTCCAGCCCCCCGACCCTGTTCCTCCCCCTTCCACACACGCCCCTCACCTTTCTCTTCAGCTGCTGGATCTCTGCCTCCGTCACAGCATGCTTGATCTGGAGCTGCAGGGGACGGGGGCAGGTGCTCAGTTCCCGGGGGGTTGGCAGAGCTGCAGGTGGGATGCTGGCCCCCCTTACCCTCCCCACCCCAGGACCCCCTCTTCCCACCTCCTTGAACTTGTGCACCAGCTTCTCGGGCTCCATGTCCACAGGGGACAAGGCATCCTCGTTCTCTGCCAACTCGAACACCTCGATGGCCATCTCACCACCCGGGAACGTGGGGCTCAGCTCCTCATCCTCGTCGGTGGCATACTCCCCGGTCTGCGAAGGAGAGAGGAGGCCATGCACCCTGCCCATCCCAGCCTCCCTCAGGCCTGACAGTAGGGCTTAACCTGGCAACAGTCTGCCCCTGTCAAACTGGGAGCCACTTAGGGAGGTTGGTTCATGTTACCCCCATCAGACTGGGGCCAGACCAGGGGCAGCATGATTTGTGTCTTCCCCTGAAGGCATGGGTAATTCCCCCATAAGAGAGATTATGTCCCCTGGGGTTAGGGGCTATGCTGTCCCCTCAGAGTGGTGGCTCTTTGAAGAACTCAATTCTCCTTGTAGGGCCTTGTAGGAAGCCTCTCTGGAGAAAGAGGGTGTGACTCCTCCATCAGGGTTCCTGGAGGAAAGGGTGTGCCTCACCTCCCCCAGACTGAGGGCTCCCCTAGGACAGGGAAGGGTGCTCTGGGCTTCTTACAAGGCCTGGGAAAGCATGGAGGCAGAGGATGTCTGTAAAGCCCTATCCAGCCACCAGAGGGCAGTGCTGCCGACAGCCAGGCCAGGAGTCCTTACCTCCTCATCATCCTCCCCATACTGGGCGTATCTCTGCTCCATCATCTCTCGCTGCCATCGCTCCTGCTCCAGGGTCTGCTGAATTAGCTGAGCCACCTCGCTCTGCTCACCGGGCCGCTCCCGGCCAATCATAAACCTGCAGGGACACCAGTGTCACTCCTTTTGCCTCTGTCCTCAGCGGGGCTAACGTCACCATCCTCCCCGCTGGTGCTCCTCTCTCTACACCCAGGCCCTCCCAGGGGAGGTGAAATGAGAGGGCTGCGTCCAGAGGCTGCAGAATGTTAATAATGAATGGGGGAGCAGGGGGCCCTTATTGAGTTTCCCTCCCAGGAGAGGCAAAGGCCCACTGGCCAGTTTGGGGGGAGGGGTGACGCCAGCCAATCTTCACTCTGGGCTGCAGGGGACGTGAGTTCAGGAGCCTCCAGTGCAGAGCCTCTGACCCCACCACGTGGGAGGAAACGAGGCGGGATGGCGAATCGGAACCACCTGGCAGGGCAGGGGCTGAGGAGGGCTGTCTTGTCTGGGCTCCAAGGCCCTGAGCTTCAGGAAGGGGCGGGATGATGGTGACCGGAGATTAGGATGGAGAGGAAACAGTGGGACTTCCAGGCACCAGCCCCTCCTCCCCGTGGCCACCCACATCCTGTTTCTCTCTACCACCCTTTCCTGGGGGCAGTGCCCCTCTTGGAGGGGGCAGGGAGTGATCCCTGAATGCTTTGCCAGAGAGGGACATGGGGAGCTCCTAGAACAATCTCCTTAACTGGCAAGCTCAGGGAGAAAAGTGCTTCCAATCTGCATGGCATTCTCGCCACACATCCTGTTTTTCAATGAAGGAGTGCACAGGCGGGGAAGAGCGAGCCTGCGAGGTCAGTCTGGAGGTGTGGTGCCGAGTGGGCCCTGAAGCCCGAGTGGCCAGCAGCGGGCACGGGCTCAGGGTGGGAAGGTACGGGCAGAGCAGTTCCTTCGGGCAGGGACACAGGGGGACCTCCTCTGTAAGTTGGGTCACGCAGAACCGTAACTGTGTGGGCAAATGGGCAGCGTGGCCGGATAGAGGCCGAGCCCCCTGCCTGCTCCCAGTCCCCAGCGACCCCCTCCCGGCCCTCACCGCACACGGCCCTTGGTGTTCCGGAGCACGGAGGCTGCGAAGCTCTGGGTCACTCCCACCAGGCTGGTTCCGTCCACCTCCACCAGGAGGTCGTTCACCTGGATCCTGGGGGAGGGGACACCGGTTAGGCACCAGGAGGGGATCCGTGGAGCTGGGGGAGGGTGGCCCCTTCCCATCCGAACTCAAGGCTCGGTGCCCACTGGGACCTGGTCCTTCGTCTACCCGCATAAAATGCACGAGGCCTGGGGATCAGGACCAGCCAGACCCACCTGTGAGTGGACAGAGAGACCTGAGCAAGCCAAGCGCACACAGGCGTCAGGACCAGGAGCAGCAGCAAGCTCCCTTCCCATGACAATCACACCGACAGAGCAGTGTGACATCCAACAGAGACCAGAACCACCGCGCACACTGGCAAGGCCCACGCCCTCTTACACGTACGAGTCTGCACAGACCTGGTCTGAAGATGACCTTCCAAATGTCTGCGACCTGCCTCACGCACTCATGTCCACACTCTGCTCCTCAGGGTCCTCTCACCCTGATACTGGCACCCCCCGCCCCAAGCAGTCCAGCTGTGCAGCTGACACGTGTTCTCCACACAAGGGGAGAGATGGGGCTGGCCCAGCACGGCCTGCTGCGAGGGATGGAATGGGGGGACCTCCCTCGAGCCCCAGGCCTTCGCACAGGGCTCCTATGTGGGAAGGGAGGACGTGGCCTATTGTAAACACTTCACATGCACACGCCTCACATGTGGGCACAAGCCTGTGGACACACTGTCTCATGTGCACACACATCCCCCTAAGTGCCAACCAGGTGACCCCGGGGAGGCTCTGGAAAGTCCCAGTGAGAAGGTAAGCGAAAGAGCTAGAACTACCCATCTTCCTCTTCTCTGACCCCCTCCCCATGCCACCTGCGTTGCAGTGGACAGAGGCCTCTGGTAGAGGCAACCCCACCTCTAGCAACATGACCCCAAGTCATTAGCCCTCAGAGGGCTACCCACTCACCTCTCACGTGAGAGGGGTCTGCAATGGCGGTACCACCACAAGGCACTCCGATGTCAACCTTCAACTTACAGCCCTGGCGTGCCCTGAGCCCTTCCCTCTTCCCTGTGCAAGACACATACAGCGGAGCTGTCCACAGAAGGGTCACTGGGCTTCCCAGGGCTCCAGGAGGTCCTTCCAGAACCTTCTGACCCAGAGATGCCCCCTCTAGCTTAGATACCAAAACACAAGCACACATGACACATGCAAGGAGCAGGTTCCTCTGCAGGCACACGTGCACCGTCTTTAGCCACCCACATACCTGGATCCTTCTATGCTCTAGGTTCCAGCCACAACCGCCTGCGTTTGGTCCCCGGCCTGGAACCTCCCGCACCCAATACTCCCTTTGAGCCTAGTCAACGTCTGCTCATCCTTCAGTTCTCAGCTGCAAAGCCACTTCCTCCAAGAAGTCTTCCCTGATATCCAGAGAGGTCAAGTCCCCCCCCCCCCCTTTTTTTAAGGGCTAACGATCAGATTTTATTTACAATTTGCATCCCACATTTTGTCACTGGACATATCCCCACGTTGCTCATTGTAAACAAAATACCTCATCAGGAGGGAAGCACCATACTCTATGCGTGCTGTTGCTGTACAGACATTATTTTTTATTTTTCTATAAATACTGTGATGGGCATCTTTATGCAGAAAGCCTTTTCTGCATTTAGGATTGCTTCCTTAGGCTCTGGTGAATATTGCCAAACTGCTTTCCCAAAGAGGGTGCACCAGCTGCACTTGGGCAGTTGTAGGGAGCTGCCGGCACCAGAGGAAACTTACAGTGGTAGCCACCCTTGGGCGGGAGGTCAAGCCTTCCTTTTTATGCCTTCCTGGCGCCCTGTATTTTTCCTCCATTTCACCATTTTCTGTGTCCACTTGAATGCCTGCCTCACCTCACCACACACCACACCGCACCACACCACACCACACCTCACCACACACCACACCACATGCTTCCTAAGGGCAAGCATCTCATGGCTGACTCCCCGGGGCCTGGCACCAGCCCCAGGACAGAGTCAGGAATTAGATATTTGAGGAATGAAGGAGGGAATACTCAAATATCTCCAGCAGGCACACAGTCTCCATGCTCCTGCTCTCCCTACCGTGGCCCCACACACACTGAGACACCCTAAACCAGCCCTCGTCTTCAGCCTTCCCCCTCCCCCCAGAATGCAAGTTCACTGCTATGGCCCAGGCCTCGGCCAGCACCTGGCACAGTCCTGCTCCACCACCATCTGAGCCGGCCCGGCTGGGTGGCCGCCCCGCAGACGAGGGGAGGGAGAGGCGGTACCTGCCGTCCCGATGGGCTGCTCCGCCCTCAGTCACCGTCTTCACAAAGATGCCCAGCTTCTCCAGGCCCATGTCCGCCCCGGCCCCCATGCCGATGATGCTGATGCCCAAGCCCTCGGAGTCTGCGGAGCAGAGGGCAGTGAGACGGTGGGGGGCCATGGAGATGGGGGAACAAGGAGGTCTAGCTCAGGGTTTGCAGGGGACAACGTGAGAGAAGCGCCCCATCCCCAGCCCTCACTCTGGGGCATGGTCCCCCTCCTTGCTTAGGATGTCCCACACTGGGGAAGGGATGCAGGTCTGTGTACCCCGTCTTTGCCAAGTCAATCAGGACGCTCTTGGGTCGCTCCCTGCCCTCTGTCCACCCAAGGAATGAATGGGCAGCAGGGCCTGCTGAGGGTGACCCATGTGGGGGGCCGGAGGCCACATGCGGGCCTGCGGAGGGATGCGGATGGAGTCGGGGTGTTGGCAATGGGCTCCCTCTTTAAGAATCTCATCCATACTCACAGCTTCAAGGACTTCCCGCTCTTCTCTCGCAGCTGCACCCCCCCTCCCATGGGCCTCTGACATCGAAAGTCATTGTCTTCCCCCACAAACTGGCTCTTCCTGCCTGCCACTCCCTCATGGGGCCTGGGAGTCACCCGGATTCCTCCCTCCCCTCACAGCCTTTGCCCAAGCCAAACCACCACCAGACCCCGCCAATCTGCCTCCCAGGACCTCTCGGCCACCCACTTCCCTCCCGCATGGCCACCATCTTCTCCACACCAGTGACCTAGGATCCTTCTCCCCACAACACAGCCTGCGGTGGTCTTTCTTTAATTCTCACCTGAGGGTATTTTCCACCAATTTTTAGAGAGAGTGGAAGAGAGAGGAAAAGACAGGGGAAATATCGATGTGAGAGAAACACGTCAATTGGTTGCCTCTGGCATGCACCTGGGCCGGGAAGGAGGCATGCGCCCTTGACTGGAATCAAACCCGGGACCCTTAGGTCCGCAGGCTGATGCTCTGTCGGCCCGGAGAGGTCTTTGTAGAACACCTTTCCCACAGTCCATCTTAGGAAAAAGACAGTGTCCTTTTGTCTCCGAGGCCGTGCTTGCACACCTTCTTCCCCTTGCTGCCCAAAACCCAGCCAAGCCCGCCTTCTCTCTTCCCCCAAACTCCCCTGAACTCCTTCTCAGAGCTCAACTCAACATCACTTCCTCGGGGAACCCCCATCCCATGTCTGGTCAGGTCTCCCGTAAAATGCTGTCATTTCAGCCCTCCCCCCCCAGATCTCCCAGCACCTATCACAGCGCATAAGGGGGTATGACTGGTCCACACGGTGCCCTCGGGAGCAGGGAACTGAAGGAGCACACGGAGCTGGTGGTGGGGGTCCGTGTGGCTGTGGGTTGCCCACAGGGTCCCGGGCAGAAGCTGGCACAGAGAGGAGACCCACATGGCCCGGCCCCCGCTCTCACCCTTCTCCAGCTCCACAGGGAACAGCTCCAACCTCTCCACCCGCTTCTCCAGCTCATACTCCGCGGAGGCCGCCATGGGGTCCACATCCTCGTTTCGACGGTCGTAGTCCTCATTGGAGTAGGTGCTGAACACCTGGGAGGGGACACTTGTCAGAGGGCAAGGGCAGGACTGGCGTGGGGAGGCCAACAGGGCAGGCTGTGCCACCCGCCGATGTTCCCCTCCCACCAGAGGCCTCCTCCACCCCCTAGACAGGTTACGGTCTCCCCCAGCCCATGACAACCCCAGCCTGGAGTGAAGGCCCTTCTAGTTCTGGAGTCCATGGGAGAGAAAGGGCCACAGCCTTGACCAGCCCACTCCCATTATTCTCTTTTGCAAGCCCAGCAGAGTAAGCATGGCCCCCAGCAGAAGGAAAGGAAGGGCTATGCTGGAGAAACTGCCAGACTCAGGAGCCCAGGTCCCCAGGACAGAGAATGACCAACAGATAGGGACAAGTAGCAAGTAAGAGCTGGGCCGAGGTGAGGGCAGACACAGACATGGACGCAGAGGGCAGGGGAGCAGAAGGAACAGGCTGAGTGAGCAGGAGAGGGAAAGAGGAGGCGGGGAGAAAGAATGGAGATGCTGGAGGATGCCAGATGGGGAGAGAGGAGGGAGCGGTGTGAGAGGCAGGGAGGGGGAGGGGAGGGGGACACACAGAGATGGAGAGGACAGGGCTGACCTGAACCTGAGGTTGAGGTCAGGGTAGGGGAGAGAGGCAGGAAGGACCGCCTCCACCCTCACGCGGGAAGGGCGGGCCCTCCACCTGAGGTGCCCTCAGATGGCAGGAGCAGAGAGAACCCCCATGGCCTTGCCTGCGGGGCTCAGTCCTCGGGACCACCGCTCTCGGAGGCAGGCCTTCGGGAGACAAGCAAACCCAGCCTTCGCGGTGGCCCCAAGGCCAGCTCAGCTCTGCCTTGTCCCTGTGTCCCTCTGCTGTCTTCCTCTCCCAAGTCTCTCAGCACAAAGGGGCTCCCCAGCCCGACCCCCCAAAGAACAGAAGATGCGGCAGGGGCTGTGTGGGAGTGCCTGATTCGGGGCCCAGGCAGGGGAGCCTCCGTGGGAGGTTAATAGCACCATTTGGGGTGCCATGACTTGTTCCCGCTGCACTGCCTGCACGACAGGTTGGCACCACTTGGAGCTTAGTGGGGGCGAGAAGGGGTGGGAGCAGCTGTCAGATGACGGGGCCTGAGGAGCTGGAGTGGGGCGCTCCTTCCCCGAGAACCTCCTCCAGTACAGTGTCCCAGGAGCACGGGGCAGGCAGCTGCACCCTGGGGTCCCAGCTTTAGCTGGGCTCCTGGGTCCATCCCCCAACCCCAGAGGCTCACTCCCGGGGGGGGGGGGGGGGAGCTATGTGGCCACGTAACTCACTGCCCTCAATTTCTCAGCATCAGAGAAACGCAAGCTCAGGCCCTGAGGACCCATCAGCCACTGGGCAGCAGGCAGGGGGCCTGCCCTCATGACATCTGGCCGGCAGCCTCCGAGCCCCTGGAGGGAGGAGGACCCAGTCTGCACCTGGTGCAGACGCCAGCGTGAGGGCAGGGTGAGACTGTGCCAGCTGGGCTCTGGGGGGTGGGTCGCCTGTGACTTTGTCCTCATTGCACACGTGACCCAGACAAGAGCTGGTGTGAGCCGAGACCGGGCAAAGTGGGTTTGGCCCACTTTTGCATCTCAGTCAGGGTCCCTTCATCACCGTCTTTGTGGTGGCCTGGGTCACTAACCCCTCCCCCATGCAGTACACACACACACACACACACACACACACAGTGACCTCCAAAACACCCTCACAGCCTGTCCTGGGTTCTGCCCTCATCCTCTTCTCTCCGTCTATTCAATCCTGCAGGAAACTCGGGCCTCAGGCTCAGAGGTCCCAGACCACCCCTCACTTTGCCCACCATGATGTGGCCAGCCTATCAGAGCGCCCTGGGCCCAGGTGGCAATCTGTCCTCAGCAGAAGCCTCCACAAAGGCAATAACTGGGTCATCAGCGGGACACGGGCCCTGGACTTAGTATTCGTGCAGAGTGGGGGCAGGGAGAGGGAAAAGATGGGGCTGCCGCCCAGGGCGGGGAGGAGGAGATCCCCAGCAAGGGCAAAGGTCAGACACGAGAAGGCAGGACCACAGGCCACTGGCTCCCACTCTCAGGCAGCGGCAGCCACCAGGGAGTCGGGGAGCACTGCTCCAAATCATGCGCTATTTTTTACCCCAAAACCAGGGTAAGGTGTCAAATATAGACAGTCAGAGGCCCAGGTCTAAAAGATCAAACTCCATCTCTGAGGGGATCAGGCAGCTCAGAGAACTGCTGGTGGTGGTAAGGGGGTTTCCTGACTTCCTCAGTGCCCCCCACCCTTCCTCAGCATCCCAAGAATCACCATAATCCTCAGTTCCCTCCAGGGTCTATGGCTTCAGAGGGAAAGAGGGCTGAGAACGGACTTCCAGGTCGTAGCTGGGGAAGGGGCTGGCTGGGGGGAATAGCACCTGTCAGGCCCGTTGATGAGAGGGACAGAGGTTAAGATACTCTGCAAAGTGAGAGGAAGCTGGGCCAGCTTCCGTGCCCACAAGTCGTCATGGAAACGGCAAGCAAACAGATGAGGGTTTGACTAAGAAGGGGAGAGGCAGGGTCCAGGCCAAGAACAGTCCGGGAACCTGGCACCCCATGCAGGGGACCTGGCCGCTGAAGCAGGGGGAGTGAGAAAGGGCCATCTAGGCTGAATGTGCCAGTCAAAAGTGGGGGTAGGAAAGGGGGAGGAGGCCTGAGGTTCTTCTGTCTCCCCAGGAGCTGCCCCCCGCCCCCACCCAGCACTGCTCAGAGGAGCTCAGGCACTGGCACAGTCTACAAAGAACCACCAAGAGGGGTGGTGTGGATGAGAGGGGACAAACTGAGACCTCCCCCCCCAAAGGGGCAGTTCCCATCCCTCTTTCAGGGCACCCAAAGAACATAGCCAAGAGCAGTTAGGGCCTGCCAGGGCCTTGGGAGTCTGTCCTATTGAGCGGCCAAGAGCAAAGGCATGCAGGCTAAGGCCAGGCCCCCTGGGGGGGGGTTCCCAGCCCCACCCCCTCCTCCCCGGCCAGCTGAAGGCCCAGCCCCCTCAAGGGCCACACGGAGAACCTATTCCCTGTGGAATCCAACACTTCCCCACGGCCCACCCAGACCCCAAGAAAGAGGGCCCCAGCCCTGGCCTTCCCCCACCCCCAGTCACATGACCCAAGCCCGGTTCACCCTCAAAGAACTGCTTCCCTCTTTCACTTCTGCAAAGCTGGGGTAGGGGCTACATGCAAGGTAGAGTTAGGGCTATGGTCCCCTGTTCCTTAATGTTGGGAAGTTCCCGGCTCCTCCCTCCCACATCCTAAACAGCTCCTACGTGAGGGGAGTCCAGGGGGGTTTCCAAGCTCCCCTGACCCTCTCCTGCCCAGAGCTGGGTAAGGACCAATACCGGAGGCTCTCCTGTGGACACACACACACACACACACACACACACCCCTTCGCACCACCAAGCCTTTGCCTCTGGAGGAAGAATGACTGGGAATGAAAGGGAAAGCAGGTGCCCCCGGACCCATGGGGGGGACGGGACTGGGAGGGGTGCAGCGTGAGCGCTGGGCGGGGCAGCAGACAGAACAGAACCTGAGGGCAGGTCCAGGCAGGCCGCCCCAGTCTGGGGCCTGAAAACCCTTCTGACAAACAGCTGACACTCCCCTGCGCCCCCTCAGGGGGTAACTTCTGGGAAGGGGGCTGAGTGGCGGGGGCTGACAGCCTGCCAAACTCCACGGGCAGGCGAAGTGGGGGCGACGGCGTGCACGTGGCAGGGGCGGCGCGGGCGGGGAGGGGAAGGGGGTCACTCACTTGGATGGGCGCCGTGCTGAAATGGATCTTCCGGCTCGGAACCGGGTCCTCTTCCTCCGACAGCCCCGGGATCTCCATGCACCCCGACTCCGGCTCATAGGGGGGCTCCCCATCCTCCTCCTCGTCGTCGTCTTCATCGTCCTCCTCCAGGGCGCTGCCCCCGGAGTCCTCCCCCAGCCCGCTGTAGGCGCTCACGTCCACCAAGTCCGCCTCGGAGAAGTCCTCCTTCTTGGACTCATCCGCCTCCTCCGGGGCCGCGTCTGGGGCCCGGCCATTGCCCACCCCTCTCTCGGGCGCCCCCACGGCGGCGGCCGCCTCTTCCTCGGGGGCCCCCGGGGCCTTGGGCTCTTGCGGTGCGGGGGGGCTGGCTGCGGGGTCCGGGGTGCTGCCATTCTCCAGGGCCGCGTGGACGGTCACCTCCGCCTGGATCACCTCCCCCGGCGCCGCCGCCTCGGCCTCCGACTCCCCGCTCTCCTCCACCTCCACCGGCTTGATCTTGCGCACCTCCCGGGGCTTGGGGGGCGGCCGGGCGGGGGCCCCTCGGTGCTGCGGGGGCTGCTGGCCTCCGGGGCCGCGCTCCTTCTCGGCGGCGGCGGGGACATCCCCCGACGGGGCGGGCGGCGGCGGCGGCGGCGGCGGCTGGAACACGCGGGACCGCTTGCTGACCAGCTTGGAGCTGAGCGGCGGCGCCCCGGCGGCCGTGGCCCTGGGGAGGCCGGGCCCGCTGCGGTGGGGGCCGGTCCTGGCGTCGGCCTTCTCGAAGACGGCGCTGAGCTGGCTGACGGTGGGCGACACGGCGTCGGCGTCCAGCTTGTCCAGGGCCTCGGTGCTGCCGTTGAAGCGCACCACCACGTCCAGCTTCCGGTCCTGCAGGCCGGCGCGCTCCTGCCGCAGCAGCCGCCGCGCCGCCGCCTCCCGGTCGCCGCCCGCGGCCGCCGCGCCGCTGCGCTCGAACAGCTTCCGCGTCTCCTGCAGCCGGGACGGCGGCTGCGGCGGCGGCGCGGCGGGCTGCGCCGAGGCCGCGGGCTTGGAGTCGAAGCGGCTCACGCGCTCGGACACGCTGGTGCCCAGCTTGAGCAGGGCGCTGTGGTCCACGTTCTCGTTCAGGCTGCCGGCCCGGGGCAGCGACAGGCGCACGCCGCCGCACCCGCCGCCGCGCTCGGGCGCCCGCGGGGCCTCGGCGGCGGCGGCGGCGGGGCCCGCGGCGCCGGCCGCCTCGCCGCCCGGCGGCCCCGCCGCGGGGGTGCCCATCTGCAGGAACATACTCTTGATGCGGTGGACGTTGGAGCCATATTTCTTGTGGTGGGCCGCCTTGCTGGGCGCCTCGTCGGGCCCCGGCGCGTCGGGCGGCTTCAGCGCCTGGATGCCCGCCTCGTAGGCGCTGCGGTGCGGGGAGGCGCTCCGGAGGGGACCCCCGGGCCCCCGCGGCTCCGTCTTCATCATGATGGGGGGAGCCGGGCTCGCATGCCCCCGCTCCCCGCTCCCCCCCTCCAACAGGCGGCGGGCCAAGTCGGAACCACCGCCCCCTCCCCCCAAAAAAGAACCCCCCCCAAAGGCCTTTTTTATAGGCTCCCCCCAAAACCAAGCTGCCAAAGACAGTTAAGGCCGCTTAAAAAAAAAAAAAAAAAAAAAAAAAAAAGGAGGGGGGATCTCCGAGCCCCCGTGTGGGTCGTCTCCACCAATCAAGCTGCCCAAGACAGCCAGCCCCGCTTCCCAAGCTCCAGCGGCCTGGTCCGGTCGCCCCCAACCAGATTCGAAAAGCGGCGGCGGCGGGGCCGGTGGGACCGCACGCCCTGCCCGCGAAGCAGCGGCGGAGGCGCCGGCTCACATCGTCCGAGGCGGTGTCAGCGCGGCTGGCAGCCCGGGCGTCCCCCGCTCCGGCCGGGAACCTTGGCTCTCGGGGGGCCCGGCACCCCGGTGCCCATGGCTGCTCGGCCGGCCCGGGCCGTTCCGCCGCCGCGCCACCCTCCCCCCCCCCCTCCCCCCCGCGCCCCGATCCTCCGTCTTTCTCTGGCTCAGCCCGAGCGGCGGCTGCCGGAGACCGAGCGGCTGCCCTTCTCGCCGCCGCCGCCGCCGCTGGGGAACTGGCACCTCTGGGTCCTAGAGGGATCGGATTTCCGGGGCCGGCGCCCGTGAGCCCTCCCCTTCCCCTCCGCTCCCATGTGCCCCCTCCCGATCCCACGCCGGCCTCACGCCGCCGGCAGCCTTCCGTTGACCCCAGGCCCCGGCCGGTCCTCTTACACGCTCCCATCCCCACCTCGGGCTGCGGCTTATCACACAGCCCACATAACCGCACCCCCACTATATACTGGGGGGAGGCAACCCAACCACAGTGGTCTCAGGGCCGCCCCTTTCCCCCCCAAAGTGAAGAGAGATCCGTGGGGAGGGACCAAGGAATGTTTCCTTGAAGGTCTTGGAGCTCCCTGGCACCATTCAAGGCCATCAAGGTCGCTCTGGGATTTTAAATGTTTAAAAATTTCAGATATTGGGGGGGGGGGGGGGCGCCTCCCCAAACTTGGTGAAGTAGAAGCTCAGCAGCCTGCCCTGGGAATCTGCATTTTTAACAAGCTCCCATGGGAACCGTCCTTGGGACCTGCCCTCTGGGTGTGAAACCTTGGCCCCACCGAGTTGCTGGCCTTGTGGGGAGGAGGGAGGGGGCTGGAGAAAGAAAATGGCCCTCCCCCAAGCGGGCCTGGTCCCTGGGGAAGTCTGAAGCGGTCATCCTGACCCTGGCCGGCTCTGCACCAGGCTGGAAGGGTGGGAGCAGGTCCCTGTCTCCCTGCCCCTGTTGGGTCATCTTAACTTCTCAAAAAGGAAGCCGTTTTGGAGGAACCATTCTGGCGGCCTTCGCCAACGCTCCACCAGCTTTGGGTCTCTCTGCTCTAAAACGATCCTGGCCACCGTGTGCAAGTGTGTGTGGAAGGGTGGCAGTGACCTACGCACCCTCTCTTAGCAACCCAGAAAGATGTTTTGATGCTCCCTCACATCACCACCCTCCTCCTCTCCCCCCTACATCCCCCCTTGCAAACAAGGGGCCTGGGTTTGCTCTCTAGTCCTCTCCCACTTCCAGGGCCTGGGAGAGGAGGGCCACCCTCTAACCGTGACAGGTCCAGATGCACTGCTTCACTCCCCAGATCCCAGAAAACGATGAACACTGTGGACCCTAGGACCCAGAGAACAACTCAGGCACAAAGCCTCCCCCCACTCCCAGCTGCTTCCTGCATCTCAGGCCTTCCTGCGGCCTCCTCCCCCTTCCATCCTCTTCCTCTTCTTCCCAATCTCCCAGTCTCCCCTCCCCCTTGCCTGGAAGGGCTGTCAAAGGGAACCTTTCCGCCCCTGCCCTGTAGGTGTGTGTGTGTGTGTGTGTGTGTGTGTGTGTGTGTGTGTGTGTGTAAAGGTTTTGTGGCATGGAAACCGGTTAGCACGTGTAAGAGAGCATGGGGGGGGGGGGGGGAGAGGCTGTGTGGGAAGCCGCCTGGGAACCCTGGATATTGGGACAGGGAGGGGCCAGGAACCACAGGATTGGGATCATGAGGCTGGCAAGCCTCAGCCTAAGTGAGAAGGAAGATTTGGGTTCCCAGCTGGAGCCGGAAATGAACCCAGACCTCAGGCTTCCCAAGGCCACCTGCCTCTGCTTTGCCCAGCTGGTCTGGAAACGTCCCCCTCCCCAGGGTTACGCTTTGGCGTGGCTTAGGGCAGAGTGAGGACCCCAATCTCCCCTTCCCTCCTAATCCGCCTTAAAAGACTGCTTCCGGGAACAAGCTCTGGGACTTGGGTTTCAAAGCTCAGGTCTGGGGTTTGGCAAAGCCCCCCTGCCCCCAACCCCAGTGTGGAAGTGAGCCAGATAGAAATCTCACCTGGCCGGGGTTGGGGTTTGGGCAGTGCCCTCAGAAACTCTGTGGATTGGAGGAGGTCGAAGGTCCCAGGGTGTTCTGCCCAGAATCTCCCACACCCGTGGGTGACTCATCTTAGCTGGTCCCAGCCCAAGGCGTTTGTGCCCACGCTCCTGGCCAGGTGGGGAAGGCGGCTCCTAAGGGCGGGAGGAGGAGCTGAGGACCAGCGTTCAGGCCCGGGGACCCTGGGACCCCTTGGGGTGAACCAGAATTCTTGGGATGCTTGGGTCCCCCCATGTCTGGAGACTTTCCAAAGTGAAATCCCTTTAAGGGCTCAGGGATGCGGGAGGGTGGAGCCAGCCCAGAGCTTGGATGACAGAGGCTAATGAGTGGGATTATTATTTCATGGGCTCCTGGTTCGCTCTGTGACACCCCAGCCAGAATTCCCCGAGAAGCTTTTATTGAGCAATAAGTGCTTTCCCATCACTCCTTCCTTCCCTGAAGCCAGGCACCCAGCCTGCTGGCCTGGGAGATGTGTCTCCATCTCCTCCCTGCCGGCCTGGAGCAGGGCTTTTCAGGCCACATCTCCCCACTGAGGATGTGTGGATGTGTGCCTAAGGATGAGGAGGACTGTGACTTTAGGGAGGGTTGCTATCCAAATTGGAGCGTTTAAATCTGACGTTTATTCCTCAGGAGTGTCCTCCTGTTCAGAGCTCTAGGGTAATCTAAGTAGAACCACTCTTTCTTTTCCCATTGTCCTTTGCGGAGGGGGCCTTGACGGCCACGTTGCCTGGTGGTCTTTGAATAAAAGCTCACTCCTTAGCTTTGCCCTGGAAAAGAGGGTGGAATGGGTCCCCTAGTTCCGGGGTCGGCAAACTGCGGCTCGTGAGCCACCTGCGGCTCTTTGGCCCCTTGAATGTGGCTCTTCCACAAAATACCATGGCCTGTTTTGAAGAAGTGGCATTAGAAGAAGTTTAAGTTGAAAAAAATGTGGCTCTCAAAAGAAATTTTAATCGTTGTCCTGTTGATATTTGGCTCTGTTGACTAATAGGAGTTTGCCGACCACTGCCCTAGTTGACCCAGGTGCTAAGCTGTTAGCTTTCAAATCCTGGCTCCACCACGTACTAGCTGTATGACCTGGGCAAGTCTCTCAGCCTCTCTGTGCTCTGAGAGGACAAAGGAGGGAAAGGGGCTGGAACTCAGAAGACTGGGTGTGTGGGGAAGGGGATGATAAAGATCCTCAGACCTGTTCCTCGAGGCTTGCTGGATTTAAACACCAGGTGTAACTGTGAAGGCTGGTGATGATGCAGGCAGAGATCTGATTTGTGATAAGCAGCAAACCCTTAGCGCCCTGGGCTCAGGCCCCAGCTGGGTGCCAAGGCTGGCTTCCCTGCCCTGCCCTGGGGCCTAGAGACTCAGCCTCTGAAAGCCGTGTTTCCTGGCCACAATCATCTGATCAGAGGATGGCCTTCGGCCCTTTTCTGCCCCTATCACTCACTATCTGTTCTCTTCTGCGAGGGACTGGGGCTGCTCTGAGAAGGCTCTAAGGCAGCGTTTTTCAACCGCTGTAGTGTGCCGCCAGATGTTGCCTGGTGTGCCGTAGGTGCAGACAAGACAAGAATTTTATAATTTTTCACTATTTTGTTTACTTAATATTTCATAATAAAGTAATTATAAAATACTTTCTTTGTGTTTATTTGATTCCTATTCAAGAGAATTACTTTATATATAGTCAATATAGGCACAGAGTTAAATTTTTTAACATTTTCTAATGGTGGTGTGCCTCGTGATTTTTTTCATGAAACAAGTGTGCCTTTGCCCAAAAAAGGTTGAAAAACACTGCTCTAAGGTATTAAGTGTATGTGTACTCGTGCTTGATATCCCGAGCTCACATCCAGGATGTCAGTGTTGGAGGACTTTAATGGCGCTTGGCCGACCCTGCCCCAAGGGGAATGAGGAAGGCTGAGATGTGGAGAGAAAAGTGACTTAGCCAGTTTTTTAAAAAAAATACATTTCATTGATTTTTTTACAGAGAGGAAAGGGGAGGGATAGAGAATTAGAAACATCAATGAGAGAGAATCATCGATCAGCTGCCTCTTGCACATCTCCTACTGGGGATGTGCCCACGCCCTTGATCAGAATCGAACCTGGGACCCTTCAGTCCGCAGGCTGACGCTCTATCCACTGAGCTAAACTGATTTCAGCAACTTAGCCAGTTTTGAAGGAAAGAGTCCAGGCTAGGGTTCGGACATCTGACTTGAGTCCTAGCTTCTCTACCCATTTGCTCAGTGATCTTGAACGAATCCTTTCTACTCTCAAAGCCCCTATTTCCTCAAAATGCTTCATTGGGATGTCTGAGTGTGTTTCCTGAGATCTGGATCCTGGGCCTCCCCGGCTCAGAGAGGGCCAGAGCAGAGCTTCTGGCTCTGAAGCCAGATCTCCATTAGAACTCCCCCCCCCCCCCCCCAACCTGCCACTTCCCAGTTAAGGGACTTCAAATTCCGCACCATCAAGTTGAGATAATACCCTGGCCTCATAGGGTGAGGGGTTACATAGGTTTGAAATGCAGACAGCATTTAAAACAGCTCCTGACACGAAGCAGGAGCTTGGGGTTGACTGTCATTGATGGCATGTGTCTGTGCACACAGATGAGTGTGTCTGTACATATGCTCATGGATGGGGCAGTATGGCTGAAAATGGACAGGGTTTGCCTCTCTCCATATGTCTTCCTGGGCAGACATGGGCCTCTTGCTTCCTTCTTTGACAGGAAGTTCTGCAATGTCAGCACCCCCTGCCTGCAGTGCCTCCAAATCCTTTGGAATCATCTTTTGGAGAAAAGGTGACCTCTCTCTCTTCTCTCCTTCCAAAGGGTTTTTCATTCCTGCTTCTAGGTTTCTTAGTCCCGTTCTCCTCCCCCACCCCCCAATCCTCCCCTATTACCCCAGCAGGGAGAGGGGTTCTTTGGGGTTATCCCACAGCTGGGAGACTGCCTGGCTGTCTGTGCCCCTCTGTCCTGCCCCCCTTCTTTCACTCACCCTCCACACTTCACTCCAGTGCCACTGGGAAAGTTTAGACGCATCTTGGAGATCTAGGAAGGAGACCAAGAAGGAGGAGTGTGTGTGTGTGTGTGTGTGTGTGTGTGTGTGTG